GGGCGGCTGCCGAAGAGCGCGCGGTAGAGCTGGCCCGCGCGGTCGCCGGGGCCGACGGCCTCGAAGTAGTCGCGGATCTCCGACGGCGCCTCCACGCCGTAGCGCGTGAGCGCGCCGATGGCCTCGCGCGCGTCCGCGGCCTCGCGCGACCTGAGGAGCGCGGACGCCAACCGCGCGTAGGTCGTCTCCGAGACCACGGTCCGCGGCGGCCCGGTCGTCGTCCGGTCGAGGGACCGGCGCGCGGCGGACTCGCGCGCCGCGGCGTTGGCCCAGTTCCGCGCGGTGCCGACGCGCGTCGCCAGCGCCGCGCTCACGCGGCCGTCGCCCGGCGCCTCGGCGTCGCGCGCGTCGTCCTCGAAGCCGGACACGAGCGCCGCGGCCGCGCGCGCGCCGTCGGCGTCGCCGACGAGCGCCGCGACGACCGCCGAGCGCGCCGTCGCGTCGGCGCCGTGGAGAGTTTCCAACTCGCGCCAGGCGCCGAGGGCGCCGCCCGCGTCGCCCGCGCGGCCGAACGCGCAGGCCACCGCCAGCAGGCTCCGGGGCCCTAAAGGCCGCGCGTCGCGGCGGACGACGTCGCAGGCCGCCTCGGGCTCGCGCGCGAGCGCGCAGCAGCGCAGCGCGCCGTAGGCCGCCTCCGCGTCGACGTCGCCGGCGAAGGCGTCGCGCCGCGCGGACGCGTCGACGGCGCGGCGCCAGTCGCGCGCCGCGCAGAAGACCGCGAGCGCCGCGTCGACGACGCCGGCGCGCGGCGCCGCGGCCGCCAGGGCCTCCGCCGCGTCCTCCGCCGCCAGGGGGTCACCGCGCCGCGCGGCGACCTCCAGGATCTCGAGCGCGGCGATCGCCGCGGCGTCGTCGCGGCGCTCGTCGCCCGTCGGCGCGAGCGCGGGCACGCGCGTCTCCGAGTCGGCGACGACCGCGACGGCCACGTCGAGCTGCAGCGCGGCGAGCTGGAGCTCCCGGCGCCGGAACTCGCGGTCCTCGCCGACGACGGCGAACGCGCGCCACAACGCGACGGCGTCGGCCGCCGCGGCCGCCGCGTCGTCCGCGTCGCCGCCGCCGACGACGGCCCGGGCCGCGGCGCGGACCGCGTGGGCCGTCGCGCGCTCCGCGGCGCCGATCTCCCCGGGCTTGCGCGCCGTGCCCCGGAGCTTCCGGCGGAGCGCGTCCAGCGCGCCCGCGACGTCGCCGTCGTCGCCCGACGCCTCCAGGAGCGCGTCGAGCGTCTCGTCGTCGAGCCCCCGCGTCGACGCCGCCCGCTCGTCGAGCGTCAGCCGCAGCACGCGCCGTCGGTCGAGCTCGTCGAGCAGATCCGTCGCCGCGTCGCCGTCGCCGCGGTCCAGCGCCTCGCGGAGCACGGCCCGGAGCGCGTAGGGCGCGGCCTCGTCGTCGTCGTTCCGCGCGCCCGGCCGCGCGTCGCCGGCGCGGCGCAGCGCCGCCTTCGTCGCCGCGAGCGCGACGCTCCGGCGCCGCGCGGCGTGGTACGCGCACGCGGCGACGGCACCGAGCGAGTCGCGGCGCGGCTTGCCGCGCGGCGCGCCCCGCGCGGCCGCCTCGGCGACGGCGAGCGCGTCGACGCGTCGCGTGTCGCCGTGCCTCGGCAGGAGGTCCGCGGCGGCGTCGCCGTCGTTTGCCGCGCCCGCGTGGAGCGCGGCGACGTCGTCGCGGCCGCAGCTCAGGAGCGACGCCTCGTCGTCCTCGGCCGCCGCGGCCGCCGCCGCGCGGCGCGCGCTCCGCACGAGCGCGCGGTTCAGGCTCCGCCGCGCCGCCGGCGACAGCCAGCGGTCGCCGTCGCCGTCGAGGAGGTCCGCGGCCTCGGCGAGCGCCGCGTCCTCGCGCGTCGGCGCCGCGCAGAGCGCCTCGACGAGGCGGCTCCGCGCGGCGGTGCCGAGGCTCGCGGCCCGCTTGCCGCCCGCGAGCGCGTGGTCGGCGAGGAGGCGCGCGCACGCGGCGACGTCGCCGCCGACCGCGCAGCCGACGGCGGCGGCCGCCGCGAGCTGCCGCGGCGGCCGCGCGCCGAACGCGGAGCGCGCGGCGAAGAGCGCGACGGCCTCGCTGGGCGTCGTCGAGTTCGCCGCGAGGTCCCAGGCGCAGGCCGTCAGCGCCGCGTCGAGCGCGCGCCGCTCCTCCTTGGTCCGCCGCGGGTCCTGGCGCTCCTCCAGCAGGCGCCGGCCCTGGGCGAGCGCGGGCTCCGTCGTTGCGCGCAGCGGCGCCGCCGCCGGCGCACGTTTGACGCGGCGCACCGGCGCCCAAGCCGCGGCGAGTGCTAGCACGAGGAAGCCACGCATCGCTGCGACCACTGCTGCTGCGAATCACTGCGACAACCCCTGCTGCGAATCACGGCCGCATCGATGTCACCACGCGGAGCGCTCGAGCCGCCGACCTGCAAGGTAAATGTCCTGGGTTGAATTCTTCAGTTTTTGGGCAGCCGCGCTCTGCGCTCGCAGCCATCCACGCTCGGGCTGCCGGTCTGTTCCGCCTCGCGAGGCGGAGTGGTCGTCCCCCGGCGGTCAGGATGGCGCGGGCCCGCGGCATGAGCCGCACGTCCGACGAGGTGACGTCCCTCGTCGCCGCCGTCCAGGAGCACATCAAATTCAAGCAGCTCGCCGTCTACTCCATCGACACGTTCTGCAAGGTGCTGGCCCCCCCGAACCCGCGCTGGCGCGAGTACATCGACGTGGCCATCGACATCGACGCGGCGTCGACCGTGATCCGCGTGATCAAGAAGCACCCGGGCAACGAGGCCGTGCTCATGGCGTCGACGCGGTGCCTGAGCCGGTTGGCCGTCGACGCGACGAACGCGACGATCATCGGCGAGGAGGGCGGCGTCGACGCCGTGCTCGAGTCCATGGCGGCGAACGACGGGTTGGACCAGGAGGTGCTGTTGAATTCCCTGAGCCTCATCGACAAGATGTGCAACCACCCGAAGTCGCTGGAGAAGATCGTCACGGCGCACATGATCGGCAACGTCGCCAAGGTCATGGAGGCCAACGCGGCCGACACGCAGGTCGTGAGTCTGTGCGCGAAGATTCTGGAGAAAATGACGCGGGCCAACGCGGGCAAGGAGGGGGTCCGCGCGGCCGAGGCGGACGGGAACAGCATCTCGACGCCGTGCCTCGCGCCGCTCGCGTCGATCGCGGCGACGAAGCGCTGCAGCGACGAGGACGCGGCGTCCGTCATCGACGTCGCCAAGGTGTTGATCAAGCTCATCGGCTACGACGACCTCGGCGTGGCGGCGTCGCTCAAGTCCAAGGGCGCGCTGAACACGCTGCTCGGCGTCCTCGGGGTCTACCCGGACGACGAGAACATGGCGCGCGTCGTCTCGAAGCTGCTCATCGTGCTCATGGAGGGCGGCATCGCCGAGCTCATCGAGCAGATCAAGGCCGGCGGCCTCAGCGCGGACCAGGTCGAGCGGCTGCTGCAATTGCTGTCCGCGCTCGCGATGGACGGCGACTTCGCGGACGAGATCGCCAAGAGCGGCGGCATCCTGGCCGTCATCGGCGCCTTCGAGGGCAACATCAGCGCGCGCGCCATGGAGGAGATCGTGCGCCTCATCGGGCGCCTGGCCCTGTCGTCGACGAATCTGGACGACATTTTGTCGTCGGGCGCCATCGAGAAGCTCGTCTTCTGCCTCCGGCAGCCCGCGACGCCCGTGGACCTCAAGGCGCAGATTCTCGGCGCCTTCAACAAGATCTCGACGCAGGCGAACACGACGGCCCACGTCGCGCGCTGCCCCGGCGCCGTCGACGCCATCGTCGGCGCGCTGGCCGCGCACGGCGCCGAGAGCGGCAAGGTCGCGCGCGAGGGCTGCAAGTTCCTCGCGGCGCTGCTCAAGGAGGGCGACGGCGCCGAGGCGGCGGCGGCGGGGCTGACGACGAGCGGCCTCGACGCGGCGCTGGCGGCCCTCGTCGCGGCGATGCGCGCGAACGCGGACGACGTCGCGACGCAGCTGGCTGTGTGGAAATCAAATCTTCAACCCGACTTCAATGTGCGCGTATTCGAATGTTTTGACACGAGCACTTCCGCCGTGCTTCGAGAACTTGCTGAGAGCAATCGATTCGTCCAAAAATCAGCCGAATCGACTTCGATTTGACCGAGCTAGAGAATTCTGAAGTTTGGCCCCGACGTCCCAGCTCACTGGTTGATTTGCACACAGGCAGCTGGCCGGCACGCGCGCGCTCGGCGCGCTCGGCGCGACGCCGTCGGCCGTGGAGCGTCTCGTGGCCTTCGACGCGGCGGCCGTGGTGCTGGCGAATCTGGTGAACCACGCCGCGGACGCGGAGCTCACGAAGGAGTCGCTCTACCTCCTGTCGACGCTCGTGATCGGCTGTGTGGAAATCAACCACTGGTTTGGGGGGTCCCCACCAAACTTCAGAACTCTCTAGCTCGGCCAATTCGAAGTCGATTCGGCTGATTTTTGGACGAATCGATTGCTCTCGTCAAATTCTCGAAGCACGGCAGAAAGCCTCGCGTCGAAACCGTTCGATTACGCGCACATTGAAGTCGGGTTGAAGATTTGATTTCCACACAGGTGATCGGCGCGCCGGCGACGGGCGCCGAGGCCGTGCGCGTCGGCGGCGGCCTCGACGCCATCGTCGCCGCGGTCTGCGCGCACCCCGACGACGCGTCCGTGCGCAAGGCGGCCATCGAGCTCGTCGAGTCGCTGTCCAACGACGCCCTCGTGGCCGCCAAGGTCGCGGAATTGCGCGCGTTCGGCGACAAGATCGCCGCGGGCGCCGCGAGCGAGCAGGAGGTCGCCGCCATCCCCCTGGCGGCCATGGCGTTAGGTGTGCTGGCCATGGTGCCGGCGAACGTGCCGCGCCTCGCCGCGAACGACGCCGCGACGCCCATGGTGCGCCTCATGGGCGCGGTCGCGTCGATGAAGGCCGCGGACATGCCCCACGTCGACGAGCTGCTGGGCACCTTCGCCGGCGCGCTCGTGGAGCTCGAGGCTGGCGACGAGAGCGGCGCGTTCCCCGACGACGAGGCGCTCGCGGCGGCCGTGGCCGTCGTGAAGAACCACACGGCCGCCGTCGCGGCCGTCGTGCCCGCGCTCAAGCTCATCCGGGCCATCTGCGGGCGGAACCACGAGGCGGGCCTGCGCAGCGGCGTCGTCGAGGCCGTGTCCAAGGCCATGGCCTACCACTGCGCGGGCGAGGACCTGACGGGCGAGGCGGCCGCGGACGGCGCGTTCGCGGCCGCGTGGAAATCAACCAGCGAGCTGGGGTATCCCCACCGAACTTCAGAACTCTCTAGCTCCGTCAAATCGAAGTCGATTCGGCTGATTTTTGGACGAATCGATTGCTCTCGTCGAGCTCTCGAAGCACAGCGAAAGAATTTGGTCCAAACCGTTCGATTACGCGCAGATTACGAAGTCGGGTTGAAGATTTGGAATCCACGCAGGTTCGCGGCCGTGCTCGAGACGTCCGCGGGCGCGCTCTACGGCCTGTGCAAGACGACGGAGGGCGCGGCCAAGGTCGGGTCGCGCAACGGGCCCAAGCCCTGCATCGCGGCCCTCGGCGCCTTCGTCGAGCGCGCCGCGGGCGACGAGGGCCTCCGCGACGACGGCGCGGTCGCCGCGGGGCTGCTGGACTGCCTCCGGGTCCTCGAGCGCGTCGGCGCGACGGCGCCGGAGGCGGCGAAGCAGATGTCGCAGCAGGGCGCCGTGGGCGCGCTCTTCGACGCCATGGACGCCAAGAGCGGCGACGCCGACTTTGTGGCCCAGTGCGAGAAGACGATCGGCGTCTTGGTGTCCGAGGAGGACGCGCTGGCCCTGCTGGCCAAGGTCAAGGCCGTCGACCTCGGCGCCGTCGCCGGCGGCGACGCCGAAACGATGCGCGACGCCCACGGCGACGTCGGCAAGCTCGGGCTCCTGCTCATGTGCGGCGACTTCGCGGGCGCGATCCGCGCGGCGCGCGGCGGCGAGACCATCGCGGAGCTCCTGAAGGCGACGGTCCAGGCGCCGGAGTCCAAAACGAAAGCGAACCTCGTGCGCGCCTGCATCACGGCCCTGGGCCGCGCCGCGGGCCGGGGGCTCCGCGTCGAGGGCGCGCTCGAGCTCGTGCCCGTTTTAGTGAAGGAGCTCCAGGAGAACCCCTCGAAGGACGTCGTCAACGCGATCGCGTCGCTCGTGAGCGACGCCGAGGTCTGCGAGGCCTTTGTGCTCTGCGGCTGCGTGGAGGCGCTCCTGCCGCTGTTGGACGACGAGCAGCTGCGCGAGCCCGTCTTCGCGTGCCTGTCGGCGTTCGCGAAGAACTCGGGCGACGGCGCGGCCGCGATCGTCCGCGGCGGCGCGTTGCCCTTCATCTGCGCCTACGTGAGCGACAACATGGCCGAGGCGCGCGCCGCCGTGGACCGGGGCGAGGTCACGGGCGCCTCGCCCGTCGCCGAGGCCATCCGTCTGTTGGCGAATCTGGCGGCGCACGGCGACGCGGAGACGCTGCTCGGCGCGGGCACGCTCAAGGTCATCGAGCAGATCTTGGACGCCCTGGGTTTAGCCCCGGACAAGGAGTCCATCGAGGCCGTCGTCGGGCTCATGAAGAATCTGGCCGAGCGCCACGCGGGGCTCACCGTCGACATGGTCAAGGGCACCGCGCGCAAGCTGCTGGGGCTCATGAACAATCTCTGCTCCTTGGACGACGTGGACCTCGCCGTGCCGGGCCTCGAGCAGTGCGCCGAGCTCTTGGAACTGCTGGCCATGGACGCGGACACGGCGCAGCGCTTCGCGGACGCGAACGCGGCGGACGTGCTCATCAGGGCAGCACAAGAGAGCGAAATTCCCAACTTCAAAGGCTCCGATCTCGGCCATTTTCCACTCGTTTCGGCTGACTTTTGGACGAGCGATCATCTCTCGGAACGGTCTCGAAGCGTGAATGGTTTTCCCGGAACGCGCGCGCGCGGAACACTCACGTTGAAGCGACGTTGAATCACCCTTTTGCTGCCCAGGTGCTCATCCGCGCGATGAACAAGTTCCCGAACCACATCGGCCTGGCGACGAAGTGCGCCGCGGCGCTCGCGAAGATCGCCGGCGGGGGGAGCGGGCTGGAGGCGATCCTGGCCAAGGCCGACGAGCTCGCGTACGCGTCCGCGTCGGGCGACGCGCAGGTTCTGGGCGAGCTCGCGGCGACGATGCGCCTCCTGGGCAACCTCGTGCTCCAGCCGGGCCTCGTGGACCAGGCCGTCGCGGACCGCGTCATGCAGACCATCGTCGGCGCCCTGGACCAGCTCTACGCGCTGGCCCCGTCCGACGAGCAGCAGGACGCGATCGCCGCGACGCTCGCGCTGCTCTCGCGGTTGATGAACGTCGAGGGCGTCGTCATCCCGGAGGATCTGGCCCTCCACTGCCTCCAGGGCGCCTTCGGCGAGGGCATGGGCGACGCGCTCAAGGCCGCGGCCTGCGCGACGCTCGGGTCGCTGGCCCGGGGCGGGCCGACGTCGATCCGCGCGATCGCGTCGTGCGGCTTGATCGCGCACGTCCAGTCCAACGCGGACAAGGCGTCGCGCGCGCGCGGCGGCGACGGCGGCCTCGCCGGCGAGGCGGCGTCGGCGTTGTCGACGCTGCTCCAGCAGGCGCTGAGCCACGCCGCGGAGCTCGCGGCGGACCCCGAGGGCGCGGCCGCGCTCGCGGCGCTCCTCGGCGGCGTCCGGGACCCGGGCCTGCTCGAGGACGCGCTCAAGCAGGTGCTCGGCGTCGAGGGCGGCGCCCAGGCCCTGCTCGAGGCGCTGACCTACATGAACTACGCCGGGGGCTTCGCGGGCTACGAGGGCTGCGCGGCCGCGATCGTCGCGGCGCTCGGCAAGCACAAGGACGCGGTCGCCGCGGGCGCGACCTACGTCGCCGAGGCCGTGCCCTGGAAGATCGAGCACGTGTCGGCGCTCTGCGGGTCGCGGAGCGTCCTGAAGCAGATGGACGCGCTGCGGCTCCACGACGCGTCCATGGCGACGGCCGACGGCGCGAAGCTCTGCTTCGCGGGCTACGAGCCGGCCTTCCTCGGCCTCGTCGCCGAGGACCTGGTCCCGGACGGCGGCGACGGCTCGCCGGGCGCGCCCATCGACGTCTCCGAGGGCGTGCCGGCGGCCCGGGCGCTCGCGGCCGCGGACCTGATCGCCAAGGCCGTCGCGCACGGCGACGCGGACGCGAACAACGGCCTCGTCCACTACGATCTACCGAAAGCCATGGTGAATGCTTTAAAATCGAAGCTGCGCCGCGGCGAGGAGCCCTTCGTGCAGAACGATTTGTACGCTTTAAACGGCATGGCGGACACGCTCGGCGTCGAGGCGATGAAGCTGAGCAAGGAGGCGATCCGATTGGTCACGGACACGGTGCGCTTCCACCCGAAGTCGGCCTACATCCAGGAGACCGGGGCGGCGCTGCTGGCCAAGCTCACGGCGGCCTTCGCCGGCGGCGCCGAGGAGCAGCTCGAGGAGCGGCTCAACGGCCTCGCGGGGTTCCACGCGGCGGCCGCGGACTGGCAGTGCATCGCGTCCGCGGACGGCGCCTACTTCTTCAACGGGGCGAGTCAGGAGTCGGCCTGGGAGCAGCCCCAGGCCCACTTCGCCTTCATGCAGGAGCTCGGCGACCTCGTGGGCCTCGTGGACCAGCTCGACGGCGACCTCAGCGGCATCGACCCGTCGTCCATGGCGGGCCTCGTGGGCTGCCTCGCGACGCACTCGCGCGACGCGGGCGTGCTCGGCCGCGTGGCCCACATCCTCGCGGCCATGGGGAGGGACGCGGGCGCGCTGGACCACCTCGCGGACATGGCGGGCCTCGAGAACCTCGTCGCGGCGCTCGAGCACTGCGGCGGCGACGAGGCCGTTTTGATGGACGCGTCGGAGCTGTTGGGCAACCTCGCCCAGCTCGACAAGATGAAGGCGCGCCTCGGGCTCCGGGAGTACGTCGCCGTGCTGAACCAGACGGCGCTGGACCACATGGCCAACGGCGTTTTAGTATTGCGCTGCCTGACGATTTTAGGCCACCTCGCGTTCAACAACGACGAGGTCATCGGCTACGAGATGGAGGTCAACGTGCCCTACACGCTCAAGTGGGCCCTCCAGCAGCACATTTTGGACGCGAAGCTCGTCGAGATCGCCGTCTTCACGTGCTCGTCGCTCTTGACGGAGAACGAGGAGCAGAAGGCCTACGTCTGCGACCAGCTCACGCCCGAGTTCGTCGAGGCGCTCAAGCTCTACGCGGCGGAGGCGTCCTTCTTCACGAAGACGATGCGCTGCATGGGCAACATGTCCATCGTCGACGCGTGCATCTTGACGATGACGGCCGCGGGCTCCGTGCCCCTCGTCGTCGCGGGCATGGACGTCCACATGGACGACTCCAAGGTGTTGCGGACGGCCGTGGAGCTCTTCTCCAACTTTGGCGCGACGGAGGACGACGACATGGACGAGCAGGCGACGACGTACCTCATCGACGGCGGCGCGATCGGCGCGATCAAGAAGGTGCTCGCGGAGCACGCGTCGGCCAACGACGCGACCCTGCTGACGGCCTGCTTCGACGCGCTCTACAACATCGGCAACGACGAGCGGGCCGCGCGCGTCGTCACGGACGGCGGCATCTGCGAGATGACGCTCGACTGCATCCGCCAGTACGACTTCAACGCGGGCCTGCTCCAGCAGTGCGTGAAGCTCATCTCGGTCTTGACCTACAACGAGTTCTCCGTGGAGCGGCTCACGGCCATCGGCACGACGGCCGCGCTGCTCTCGGCGCTCGCCGCGCACGCGAACGACGAGGAGTTCGTCGTCGACTGCATGCTGTCGCTGTCGAACCTGGTCACCGTGCCGGAGAACGCGCGCGTTTTTCTGGATAAGAGCCACCTCAAGGTCGTCTTCGAGCTGCTGGACGTCTACGACGGCAACGCGGAGGTCGTCAAGTTCGTGCTCATCACGCTCGTGCGCCTCGCGGCGGACGACGAGCTGTCCAAGGCGACGGCGGAGGACGGCATGTCCCACGTCATGCGGGCGACGTCGTCCTTCGTCGAGGACGCGGACGTGCTCAAGTTGATTTTTGAGCTCCTGGGCCAGCTCGCGTTCGTGCCGGCCAACAATCGCGCGCTCGTGTCCGCGGGCGGCATTAAGGTGCTGCTCAACACGATGGAGACCTTCGACGACGACCCGGAGCTCATCATCAAGACCATCACGACGCTGGACAACCTCGTGTCCGCGGACATGGAGTACGCGGCCGTGGTGTTGGAGCGCGACGGCGAGGGCCTGCTCAAGTCGTGCATCGACAAGTGGAGCCACGACCCGGCCGTCGTCCAGTGCGGCCAGACGGCTTTGCTGTCCATCCAGGCCATGCTCGCCCAGAAGGAGAAGGGCCGCACGAACCGCGCGGCCCTCTTCGCGCGCCTCGGCGACGACATGGACGCGTCGAAGCTCAAGACGGAGCGCCTGAAGGTCAAGGACGTCGACGTCGAGCCCACGGAGGACCCGCTCAAGAAGTTCCGCGAGTCGCTCAAGAACGGCATCATCTTCAAGGAGTGGAAGGACGGCAAGGCCGTGTCCCGCAAGCTCCTCGTCGGCGAGGCCTTCGACAGCGTCCTCACGCGCGAGGTCCGCGGCACGGGGGCCATCGCGACGCGGCTGCCGCTCGCGAAGATCCGCCGCGCGGAGCTCGGCAACGGCCAGGGCCACATGCAAAAAAGCCTACTCTCGAAGAAGCTCAAGCCGGGCGCCAAGCAGGGCAGGACAAGAGAGCGAAATTCCCAACTTCAAAGGCTCCTTTCTCGGCCGTTTTCCACTCGTTTCGGCTGATTTTTGGACGAGCGATCATCTCTCGGAACGGTCTCGAAGCGTGGATGCTTTTTCCGGAACGCGCGCGCGCGGAACACTCACGTTGAAGCGACGTTGAATCACCCTTGTGCTGCCCAGGCGCCAAGGAGGAGCTCTGCTTCGTCGTCAAGGGCATCAACGGCGACGACCTCCTCTGCGGCGAGTCGAAGACGAAGGCGGACGCGGCCTACGCGAAGGAGGCCCTCGAGACCATGCTCAACTGCGCCTCCAAGTGGCCCCACCGCCTCGTCTCCGGATAGAGAAGTGGGCGCGCTGCGAACCTTTCCCTCCCCGCGGCGTAAGGCGGGGGTCCCTTTTCGAGGCTTACATCATGGACCGGGCCAGGTCGAGGAGGCGCTTGGCCCGGACCTCCTGCGGGTTCGTCGCGAGCACAGCCTCGAGCAGCGGGATCGCGGCGTCGGCGTCGCACTTCAGGAGGTAAACCGAGGCGAGGTTGAAGGCGCTGGCCCTGGGAGCACGCGGGTCGTCCTTGTCCAGCGCGTACGCGCGCTTGCACCAGCGCTCGGCCTCGTCGAGGTCCGCAACAGCGCACGACTTCGAGTATATGTCCTGGTAGCACGAGCCGATCAAATTGGCTGTCGACGATTCCCGCGGATTCACGGCCCAGGCGCAGCGCAGGTGCTCAATCGCGCGCCGCTGGTCGCCGGGCCGGTCGCGCTCGTGGTAGGCCTTGCCGAGGTTGTACTCCTGCTCGCCATGGCTCGACCGCAAGCCTTGGCGCAGCGCTGCCTCCATAATGGGGATGGCGCCGTCGTAGTCGCCGTCCATGCACAGCATCATCGCTTGCTGGATGCGAGCCCCCGCGTTCTCGGGGTCCGCGGCGAGCGCCTTCGCGACGTACTTCTTCGCCGACTCCGTCTTGCCCTCGAGGAGCCGGTCATGGGCCCGAAGCGCGTTCATGTCGGCGCAGCCCCCGCCGACACCGGCCCGCCGCGCCTTATCGCGCGCGTGCGCCATCTGCACGCACACGAGCTTGTGCTCGGGCCAGTGGAGTTTTTGACAGGCCGGCGAACAGTACTTGGGGGTCTTGCAGCGCGCGCAGTTCTTGAGCTCCGTCTTCGAGTAGGCCTTCCCGCAGCCGTCGCAGATGGAAACATTCCGGTTGACGAAGGTTATGTCCTTATGACAGCGCGAGCCGGGCGCCGCGTCGTTGGGCGAAAGATTCTCGGCTTTCAGTGCGACGACGGCGCCCGTGTCGACGACGCGGACCTTTTTACGCGCGCCCTGCGTGCCGACGACGACGACCTCGCGGCCGTTGAGGTCGGGGCGAGAGCGAAGCCCGACTATGATTAAGTTGTTCATCGCGTGCGAGGCTACACGCTGCGGAGCCAGCCCAGATCGCAGCCGGGTCGATTTTAGGACAACGTTTCCCTCAATCAAATCTTCACCTTCCCTCTTGGAGACCGCAGCAAGACCTCAAAATTGAGTCATGGCAGCTCTCGAGGCAAGCCATGCAGTCGCAGCGCTCGCACAATCGCTCGAGGTCGCAGCCGTCGACGCCGACCGCGCCGCCGTGCTCGAAGCGCGGCGGCTGCGCAAGCGCGAGCAAAAGGCGGCGGCGCGCGCGGCGGCGGCGACGGCGACCGGAGCCGGTCCGACGATCAGCATACCGCAGCGACTGCTCGACGCGCTCGACGCGCTGCCGCTGACCGCTCCCTCGCGCGAGATTGCGCCGCGGGCCGACGTCGCGAAATGCTTCGACGCGCTCGTCGGCGGCCGGCGCAAGACGTGGCAGGCGAGCAAGCGCGCGACGCACCAGCTGCAGATCGAGTCGCTCGCGCGGCTCCTCGAGGGCCGCGGTCTATTGGGCCCGCGGGCGCGGATCGTCGAGCTCGGCGCGGGCAAGGGTCTCCTCGGCGCGGCGCTGCGCGCCGTGGGCCTCGTGGCCCTGCCGCCGGTGGCGCTCGACCGGCGCGCGTGCGCGGGGAACTACGACGGCGACGGCGTCCGCGTCGTCGCGGACCTGGCGACCTGCGACCTGCGCGACGCGCTCGCGGGCGTGGACGGCGACCCCGTGCTCCTGGGCAAGCATTTCTGCGGCGCCGCGAGCGACTTCGCGGTGAAGGCGGCGGCGCGGTCGACGCTGCCGCTCGTGTTGGCGCCGTGCTGCCACCCGCAAATCACGTGGGAGACCTACGCCGGCCGCGACTGGTTCGCGGCGCACGGCCTCGACGAGGCCGACTTTCGCGTCCTCCTCGACCTCGTCCTCGCGAGCAAGCACGCGCGCGTCGAGGACGCGCCGCGGTTGGCCGTCGACGGCGAGCTGTGCTGGCGCGCGGGGCTCCTGGCTCGGCGCGCGATCGAGGAGGGCCGCGCGGCCTTTCTCCGGGCGCGGGGCTTCGCCGTCGAGGTCGTCGAGTACGCGCCGTCTTCGGTGACGCCCGACAACCTCGCGCTCGTCGCGACGCCGGGACCGGCGCGAGCGCCGCGGCCGGCGGCGGGCCCGCGGCTCGTCCTCGACGACGGCTTTCCCGCGAACGGCTGCGCGCTCCACGTCAACCGCGCGCGCGGCTCGGACCTGCCGCGGCGCGTCGCCGAGTACGTGCTCGAGGGCCGCCGCCACGGCGCCGCCGCGGCCTGGGTCGCGCACGTCCGCTGCGACGACCGCTCCTCGGAGCCGCTCGTCGTCGTGTGCGGCGATTCGTGCGCCGCGACCCTTGCGACGCGCCTCGCGGGCGACGCGCGGCTCGCGGCCGCCGGCGTCGACATGATTTTGCCTTTTGCCCACCGCGCCGAGACGCTCGACGCCGCCGCCGCCGCCGCCGGCGCCGAGGGGCCCGCGCGAGTCTTCGGCTGGCCGCGGTCCACGGAGCGCGCCGCGGTCGTCGCGTGCGCCGACGCCGGCGCGGCCGTCGCGACGACGGGCCACGCGAGCGTGCTCTCCGTCGTGTCCTGCGACGCCCGCGGGTCGCCGCCGACGATCCTGTACTCGCGGCTGCCGGTCGCCGCCTGGGACCCGAGCGCGTGGCGCGCGGCCGCGACGGCGGCGGACCGGCCGGACCCGCGCGCGCTCTTCGTCGGCGAGTGCGCCGAGCGCCTCGGCGCGGACCTCTCGGGCGCGGTCGTCGTCGCGGACGACGCCGCGACGGCCGGGGCCTACGCCGCCCTCGTCGGCGGCGCCGCGACCGTCGCGACGGCGGCCCGCGACGGCCGCTGGACCTTTTCGAAGCCCGCGGTCACGGCGCGCGCCGTCCTCGCCTGCCTCCGCGTCCACGGCGACGCGCTGCCCTGCGTCGACGCCTGGCGCGCGGCGCGCGAGCCCGCGAGCGGCGCCCGGATCCTCGCGCGACTCCGCTTCGGCGGCCGCGTGCCCGACCGCAAGATGGAGCGCCTCTGCGCGGAGCTGTCCCGCGCGGCCGCGCGCCGCTACGACGACGTCCTCATCGCGCACCTCCTCGGCGACAAGGACCACGAGCGGACCTTGTCCATGGTCGTTCGGTAGCGCGTGGTCCTACGATGGGATTAGAAGCACGCGCACGGGTTCGCGTCGTTCCCCGCGCCCGGCGCGAGCCCCCCCTTGGGGAAGACGGGCCAGGCCGCGCCCGCGCGGACGAGCGCGCTCGCGAGCGCCGCGGCGTCCTCGAAGGCGACGCGCTCGAGGTCCGGGTCGCGCGCCAACGCGAAGATGGCGTCGGCCGTCGGGAGCATGCGCGGCGACGGCGTCCCCGCCGCGTGGAGGAGCTCGCGGACGCGCGCGGCGTTCCGCGCCTTGAGCACCTGGGCAGGAAAAGGGTGCGACATTCCCAACTTCAAAGGCTCCTATCTCGGTCGTTTTCCGCTCGTTTCGGCTGATTTTGGGACGAGCGATCATCTCTCGGAGCGCCCTCGAAGCGTGGGTGCTGATTTCGAAACGCGCGCGCGCGGAACACTCACGTTGAAGCGACGTTGAATCACCCTTTTCCTGCCCTGTTGAGCACGCGCCAGAGGTCGTCCGCGGGCGCCGGCCGCGGGTCCCGGGCCCAGGCGAAGGCGACGCGCGTGCCGCGGTGCGTCGCCGCGAGGGCCGCGGCCTCGCCGACGGCGAGGCGCCGGCGGTCCAGGGGCTGGAGCGCCGCGGGCCAGTGCGCCGCCGTCCGCGCGGCGTCCGCGGGGAACCCGAGCGCGGGCGGCAGCGTCGTCAGCGACGACTCGTCGTCGCAGTCGAGGACGAACCAGGAGAGCACGCCGGCGACGACGCCGCTCCTCGTCGCCGTCCAGGCCACGGACGCCGCGCCGCCGCGCTCCGGCGAGTCGTCGCCGACGAACGCCGCGCGGTCCCCGAGGTCGAAGGCCGCGACCGTCGCGGGCGCCGTCAGCGCGACCCAGGCGCCGCCCTCGACGACCGTCTCCGGCCGGTAGACGCAGCTCCCCGGGTCGTGGCCGTAGGGGAGCCAGGGCGCGGCGGCGTCGTCGTCGGCGAGCGCGACGAGGCACGCGCGGACCGCGCACCTCCGCGGGACGACCTCGGCGTCGGGCCGGAGCGCGTGGCGCCAGGCCTGGCCCACGAAGTGGAGCACGCGCTCGCCGAGGCCGCCGCAGTCGAACATCTCGACGAGCAGCGCGTCCGCGCGCTCGTCTAAAGGAAGCCCCGCGCCGAGCTCGCCCGCGTCGCCGACCACCACCTCGACGCGCTCGCCGTTGTCCAGGATCACGCGCTCGGCGACGGCCGCGAGGTCCGCGTCCTTCTCGACGCCCAGGATGCGCGGCGCGGCGATGTCCGGCGTCGCGGACCGCGCCGCCTTCGCCGCCATGAGCGACAATAACCCCGTGCCCGCGCCGTAGTCCACCACGAGAGCGCGCCGCCGCTGGGCGTGGGCGCGGATCACCGCCGCGGGCACAACCCGCGCGATGGCCTCGCGGAAGGCCGCGTTCCGCGGGCCGTCGCGGACCATGGCCGCGTGCCACGCCGGAACGACGAGCGGCGGCGACGCGCGCGCGGGCGCGGCCGGCGCGCGCCGGGGCGCGAAGCGCACGGCGGCGCCGTCCCAGGCCGCCTCGATCGTGGTCACGTCGCCGCCCCGGGGCAGGAGCTGCCACGCGTGCGGGAACGGGCCGCCGGCGTCGAAGTTCGGCTCCGCTAAAAAACGCTCGAAGCCCGCCTCGGGCCAGCAGACGACGGCGTAGTCGCGCGCGGCGTCGAAGTCGCCCGCGAAGGCGAGCGTCGCTCGGCCGCGGCCGCTGGCCAGCGCCAGGTCGTCGAGCTCGAAGACGACCGTCGCCGCCGACGCGAAGGCCACCGCGCCCGCGTCAAAAGCGGGCCCGAGGTCGCGCTCCGCGGCCCGGCGCGCGCCCCCGCCGTCGTCGAAGCCCGCGCGCACGGCCGCGTCGAAGGCGTCGAGCGTGATGGGCTCGTCGTCGCCGCAGTCCACGGGCCGGCTGCCCTTTAAAAGCACGAGCGCCGCGCACAGCCTCAGCTTCGGCGGAATAGTGACGTGATCCTCGTCGACGAGCCCCGCCCGGCGCAGCGCCCGCAGCGCGAAGACGAGGCGCCGGTTCACGAGGGCGCCGCCGACAAAATCCGGGTCCACCACCGCGACGCGCGCGGGCGCGCGGCCCGCGCCGTCCGGCGCGCGCGCCGCGGCCTCCGCGGACGCGGAGAGGACGTCGAAGGGCTCGCCGGCGTCGTCGTCGTCGTCGGCGACGCCCAACCTTCGCCGCGCGACGCGCCGGGCGACGCAGGCGGCCACGAGGTCCGCCGCGGCGCCGAAGCGCGTCGCGACGACGACGGGCGGCGCCGCCGCCGCGCAGCACGCGGCGAGCTCGAGGCCGCTGCCCACGCCCACGTAGACGACGCGCTCCTCCGCGCACGTCGACGCGATGGCGGCGTCGTAGGCGGCCCGGAGCTCGCGGCCGCGCGCGATCCGCTCGAACGCGCGCCGCGGCGCGGCGAGCGCCGCGGCCGCGCGCGCCTGCCAGGCGACGCCCCGGAGCATCTGGCGCGGCGGCCGGGCCCAGGGCCGCGGTAGGCCGCCGCGCGCGGCGCCGGAGCCGGACCGCACGCGCGCCGCGCCGTCCGCGCGCTCCGGCTCGTCGTCGCCTGGGCAGGACAAGAGTGCCAAATTCCCAACTTCAAAGGCTCCTCTCTCGGCCGGTTTCCACTCGTTTCGGCTGATTTTTGGACGAGCGATCATCTCTCGGAACGGTCTCGAAGCGTGGATGCTTTTTCTAGAACGCGCGCGCGCGGAACACTCACGTTGAAGCGACGTTGAATCACTCTTGTCCTGCCCTGGTCGTCGCCGGACCCGGACCGCCGCGCGACCGCCGCGTTCGCGAAGGCCTCCTCGGCCTCGTGGTAGCGCGCCATGGCCGCGAGCGCGCGGCCGACGGCGGCCCAGGCGTCGCCGGCGCCGCCCTCGCCGGCCTCGACGGCCGCGCCGGCCTCGGCGAGGCTCTCGCGGAACCGGCCGCAGCCCAAAGCGAGCGCGGCCGCCGCGAGGGGCCCCGGGCGCCCGTCGCCGCCCTCGCCGAGCACGCGGTCGTCGGCGTCGACGCCCCGCCCCGGCGGCGGCGTCCGGAAGGGCCACCAGGCCGCGCCCGCGCCGTCGTCGGTCGCGCGCGGCCGGTTTCCCTGCCGCGCGTCCCACACGTTGCGCGCCACATTCAGCAGCGGCCGCGTCGTCGCGTCGCGCTCGCCGACGGCGCTCGCGTCGAACTTGGCCGCCGCGCCCTCGGCCATGAGCGCGCCGACGAAGGCGTGCTGCGGGCCGAGCGCGGCCTGCAACCCCCGCATCGCCGCGAGCAGCGCGGGCAGGCACTCGGCGACCTCGCCGCGCCGCAGGCGCGCGCTCACGAGCCACGCGGCGCCGAGCGCCGCGCCGAGGCGGTCCGCCGGCGCCCGCAGCAGGCCCGCCCGCGCGCAGCACTGCTCCGCGTGGCGCACGGCGTCGTCGTCGCGGCCCGACGCCGCTAACAGCCAGGGGAACTCGGGCCCGGAGGCCCGCGCCATCTGGGCCAGGAGCGGCGCCTGCACGTCGTCGAGCTCCTGCCGCGCTTGCTCCAGCAGCTCATCGCGGTCGCAGGCGTGCATCGCGGACGCGGGGCAGCAGCCCCAGGCTGTGATTACGAAATGTTGACCTTCTCACAAGCACACCCAAACCTCTCGGACGATTAGCGTCAATATGGGCCTCGCGCCGCGCCACAGGCCGTATGAGGCCGCCTGTGACCCCCGCGCCGCTTCCGTCCGCGTCTACTAGTCCCTGCGCGGTCGCGTGCCACTTTTGAGCGCTGGAAACGGCGTGCGCGCGACGACGCACACGGCCTCGGAAACCGCCTGCGGGAGCGGTCGAGCAGCGGGCGGCGCTGGACGCGTCCGGAGGTCGCCGCGGGTCCGTAAACCGTCGCGGCGGTCCGTCCATGTTGCGCATAGGTGCGGCGCGCGTTCGACTGCGTCGGCCGAGGCCGTGGTCGTGGTGCGGCGCGCGGCCGAAGATGGGTCCCGACGACACGTTCGAGGCGCGGACCGCGGCTAGATCTGCGCGAGTTCCCGTCGGCGAAGTGGCTCGTGCAGCTCGTCTATCACTATGGGTGAGCCGTGGCCCAACAGATCACGTCAAATACGCCACATCGCCGTTCATGACCCCAGAACCCGTTTCGGCGGCGGTTTCGGGCGCCGCTCTGCGGCGGCCGGCGCGCGGGGGCCGCGGTCCGTGCCCGCGGACTTGATCGATTTCGCGGCCAAACATCTCCACGAAGCGACGGGGAACGACAGCTCGCGGGCGCGGACGACCTGCGACGCTCGGCGGACGCGAACATCGTACTCGGCGCAAACTCGCGCAACCGCTCGACGGCGGCTACGCGGCGCCCATGGGGGCGGCGGTGCGAGGATATGGGCTCCGAGCTCATCCTATCGATGGGCGAGGGCCGTGGAGCACTCATTAGCGCTGGACCCGACGTGCTTCTATGCGGCGTCGAAGTCGTACGTCGACGGAGACGGTCCTAGACCGACACGTTCGCGCGCGGCGCGCGGTCGCCGTTCGCGTCTAGACTTAGCGCGCGCGCGGCGGCTCAGAGGCCGCGGTCCGAGTGGAACCGCTTGTGGCAGTTGTGGCACGCGATGTAGTCGTGGCAGAGCGTCTTCTCCTTGTCGGCGCACGCCTTGAACTCCTCGAAGTCCCAGTTCCGGCCGACGATGCAGACGCCGTTCATGCCCTTCTCGCCCTCCTCCTTGAACTTGTGCTTGGCGCCGTCGCGCGTGTGGCACATGCAGAAGCCCGTCTGGTTCTCCTCGTCGCAGACGAGCGGGCAGTAGTGGCACTTGAGGCCCTGCTTGTAGGTCTTGAAGACGTAGGCGTAGTTCTCGTGCTTGCGCCGGTACTGGAGCTGGCCCTGCGGGCTCCGCTCCTCGAGCGGCCGGTCGCGGAGCGACTGCGCCCGCGCCTCCTTGATGCCGTCCATGACGTTGCACGTCAGGCACCAGCCGTCGCACTTGGACGCGTCGCGGACGCGGTGGCCGATGTCCGGGTAGGCCGTGTCGCTGCCGGGGCCGTGGGCGCCCGGGGGCTTGGGCTCGGAGTCCTCCGTGTGCTGGAAGGAGCAGATCGCGGCGACGAGGTCGCGCGTGGCGAAGTTGACGCCGCACGGGTAGTCCGACGCGCAGTCCTTGCCGAGGTACTTGGTGACCTTGAGCGCGAGGACGACCGCGTCACCCGCGGCGCGCGCGTTTGCCGTGCGCTGGGCGTAGAGCGCGCGGCAAGCCGCGCAAAGCGCCTTTCGGAGGGCCGCGAGCTCCGGCGTCGCTTCCTTGTCGCCCTCGAGCTTGAGGAGCGCGGCCTTGGCGTCGTCGTCGCGGCCCGCCGCGACGGCCTCCTCGTAGGCCTGCAGCGCCTCGTCGAAGAGGCGCCCGGCCTGCGCGTGGGCGTCGTTCGGCCGGAACCAGGACGCGTCGACGGGAAACGCGTCCTTCTGCCGCACGCCCTCGCGGCAGGGGCAGCCGGCCTTGAGCGCGCTGCAGACC